CGCTGCGCTGAACCCTCCTCCCTCGCGTTTCTTTCTGCTTTTGCTTTTTATAACTCAGATTTTTGCCGTAGAGAGCAACCAGATTTGTCGGTCGGTGGGGCAGATGGCTCTCAAAGGAGGAAGTGGAGAAGGATGAAGGTTTTGAAGCCTTTCTGAAGTTTAACTTGCAGCTAACTCTTGTTGAAGTTTGGCAGTCGATTTTTCTGGGCGGCGACCGGCACGCGGATGAAAGAAGCTGCAATGGAATTTAGGCAATAAACCTGGTTTTTAGAATGAGATTAAGACAGCATTCAGTCCAAATACTGCCAAAGTGTGCACAATTCAGTGACATCTTAAGGAACTTGTTTCCGCTTTGATGCGGTGTTGCAGGAGCCCTGTGTTTCTAAGGACTTGGGGTGAATGGAAAATGACAGAATTATGTCAATGAGTAACTTATAGTAGATTTATTTAGAAGATTCTGTTTTCTGGGTCAAGCGCTACATTATTTTCTCTCAAAAAAGTCAGTTTTGTCTAAAAAACTTATGTCTTTCAAAAAGGCTTAGCCTACTATCTTGGATCCTCCCAGAGATCACGTAAGAGGCGTACTGCAGTTCTCTTGGAGTAACAGCACTCTTGCAGCTCTGTAAGCTTCTGCCACTTAAGGAGTGTGCGATCTTCCGTCACTTCTTTTTTCAAAATATTTTGTGGAAATGACATAAATCTGTAGAAGCAGAAATCCCTACGTACAGACACCTCATCATGAGACACGCAGCTTCAGTTAGGGTTAAAAAGTAGACACGACGGACTGTAAAACTTATTTCTCCTTTGGAAGATTCAGTCCTGCTTGGGACTTGGTATGGCCTTGTTCTCAGTGTCTCATTTTTCATGTGTTAAGAGCTGGGAAAGTAGTAGCCTTGTCGCTCGCTCACCCATCTTCCTTTGCATTGAGGGGTTCTCAGTGTCTCATTTTTCATGTGTTAAGAGCTTGCTCACCCATCTTCCTTTGCATTGAGGGAATGGTTTGTGTGGTTACAAGACAAACTGAACCAAGAAGCCTGTCTGTGTTTAAAACTGACAGGTTTGGGTTTGGGGTTTTTTGGGGTTTGGGTTTTTTTTTTCTAGGCTTGGTGCATGGCTGGCTGAGCATTTTTGTGGAGGGCAGGAACAAGGGAAGAATAGGAGTTTCTTTGGAGAAAACGCTGGCTCAGCACATGTGAGTTGGATAAAGCTTCGCAATTTGGTTCAGGTCAGAAAAGAGAAAGGTGTGCTCCAGTCCAAGCAGATTTATGTAGACTGAAGCAATTTTCATTTTGCCCCTTTTTTAACTGAAAATCTTTAAGAAAAATACAAGAGTTTCAGGTACTGGGTAGGCTAAAAGTTATTTGGCATTTTGATGTCTTCCTGTGTCTTGCAGGGATGAGCCTGCGATGTAGTCTGGCCTGTGATAAGTTGTCTTTGTAACACATGGTGAATAAAAAGGCTTGAAGTTGGATTTTTATCACATGGAAAATTTGGCTAATGAGCTACTTGTCTTCCTTGTTACAGATAATGACCCTACTTTTGAAGTTTTGATTACGTTTGACTTGAATTAGTAAGACGTCTTTTAGAAAGTCCCATTTATTGATGCACGTCCAAAGAAATATTACTTCCCTGCTCCTGTGCCTTCACTCCACCTCTCTCTTCCTGCAGCCTCTCCTCGGTCTACGCCTTCTTTTCAGGAGACTGTAATGATTCATTATGCCATATCCTCTGCTGCCTCTGCCATGGGCCCTCAGGTGGCTGAGCAGGAGGTCACTGGAACAGGCTCCCCAGTGAAGTAGTCACGGCACCAAACCTGTAAAGAGTTCAAGGAGTGTCTGGATGACGCTTTTAGTCATATGGTTTAGGTTTTAGGTGGTCCTGCGAGGAGCAGGGAGTTGGACTCGATGATCCTTATGGGTCCCTTCCAACCTGAGATATTTTGTGGTTCTGTGAAGAGGAGCTTTAGTCTGCCTGGGCTGCTGGCTCCCCAGCAGGACTTCTGAGCCCTGGGCCAGCTAACAAGGAGGTCTGGCACATACTGTCTCTTGGCCCAGGCAGACTACGGAGTTTTTCTGTTGAGCATGCCTGGATGAGACCTTTTTTTCAGCAGATGCTTTGGGAACCAGCCCAAGTGATATTGAAAGGATACATTACCCTTCAAATAGATGATTACTGGTACACAGACTGTTTACGGAAATAGATAAAATCATTCACATTCTGATTTTCACGGAGGTAGTAAACACAGAAGTAGGTAATGGCCATGTATTTTTGTAAGTGAATCAGAAAATGGAATTAAAGCAAACTGATTTTGTGTGTGTTTTAAGTTCCCGAGGCCTGTTTGCCATTTTTAAGAAGTATGCCTGTAACACAAAAGTTAGATGTTAAGGTCTTGTGAAAGCTACACCAAGTTGCCCAGCTTTCCATAGCAAAAGGCAATAATTACCTTTCTGAGTTTGTTTCTTTGTTTTGTAGTAAACATCTTACATGATCAGTAAATTTCTTTTGCATATGTATTTGCTTGCAAGCCAGCATTTCCGCTTAACTGACAAATTCTGAGTCCAGAAGCGTGTGCACTTTGCCTTTGCATGTTGCAACACACTAACTAGACCAACCTCTTCTAGTCACTTTACAGGTATGTGGAGGTCCTTGTAGAAACATTTTTCCATTTGAAAGACATTTTATAGTTTAGTGTTCCTGCAGTACAAAGGGAAAGGAATCCGCATGATTAGTTTGAATACAAAAAAAACCACCCACAGGATTATCGATCGCCATTCTGCTTAAACTTGCACTTCCATTAAAAGGAAAGTTTCTAGCTCATATTGTTGTTACAGTTTTAGCTATTTGCTGTTAAGCTTGCAGGCAGATATTCCTGTTGTTCTTCTCAAAGGTTCTGTGGAATTTAGAAGAAAGGTGGATCTCCACATTTTTCTCTTT